CCGCAGAGCTTGACTTGCCAGGTTCGGAGCCACCCTTTGTATTGAAATACACAACATTTCGTGCGTCCGCTATCTCTCAAAAATGCATCTTGTACAAGAGTTCCTTCCAAAATGCATCTTGAAGAGTGGAGCTAGAGCTAACTAGAGCGAGTTGCACCTGGAGCTAAAGCAAACCAGAGCTAGAGCTAACTGGAGTTAGCGCTCACTAAAGCTACAGCTCACTCAACCTAAAGCCGACTAGAGCTAAGCGAACCACAGCTAGAGCCAACTGGAGTTAGAGCTATAAGTAAAGCTAGAGCTGACTGGAACTAAAGCTGACTAGATAGAGCTACCTGGAGCTGGAGAGCTGACTGGAACTATCTAACTACAGCTAGAGCTGTTGAAAGTCCGCAACACGGAAGTTTTGCACACTAAACTTCCTTTGATAATGCTAATTAATAATCCATACCTAGACCTTCAAAATCTCAAAATATTTTGGTCCATGTGGTTTGTACTACTTTATTGTGACGATCAGTTGAAAAGTGGTCGAGCACATACGATTCAAACAAAGAGTGGTCGTGCATGGTCACACACTGCCCTCCCCGTGGCCTCTGGATGACTGATGGATGATGATGATGATGACGATGATGATTGGTCGGTTTCACGGGAGTTCAAAGGTATGATCTCTTATGCTTGCACAAAACTTGTGGCGAAATCAAGTGCAGCTGGGTTGGCCATCGCTTGAGCAGTCGATATACCCCTCTAAGAAAGAGCGGCTTTCACTAATCCCTGGTCGATCAGACATTGGCCTAGAGCTCCAAGAATTACGAGCAGGCTCGAGCGCAGCAAAACTACAAGATACGGTAATGACATACGAGTATGCAAAAGGAACCATAATTGCATTGTTGCTAACAAATGAACTCATGTCGACATCATGCTCGTAGGAAAACATGACTAGGCACTCATTTTCTCCCGAACAGCTTATGACCAAAGATTGTCCAGGTGGAGCAGGCAATCCTACTCATGACATTCAGCCCAAAAGAGTTGCAATTCAACGAACTTAGAGGTTTCTCAAAAACCATCAAAAAACCATTTGACCTACTTTCTGGGATTTGTGGGCGTTTGCAGGTTTTTGATGGCGTTTTGAGGGTTTTTGTGGGCGTTTTGCGGGTAAAACTGGTCGTGGGTTTTCATCAAATTCTGTCTCCGAAACCTCGGAATAACATTAAGTGCTTTCCACTCCATGTAGGTCTTCAGAGGTCACAACCTGGGCATGAACAGACAAATGTTTTTATCAATTTCTCCTTTGTCGT